AATGAAAGTACCGGAAGTTATTCATTAACCGGGTGATATTTTGGCAACATGGCTGCTATCACAAGGAGTGTATACAAAAGTTAAATGCTGGTTTTTGCATGAAAATACTTTTTTAAACCAAATTCTGGGCCATTTTGAAAAGAGCAAAAGAAGAAATGGACTATTTGTATTTGTATTTGTAAATAAGCAAAAATGGCGAACAAAGTAAAAAAATTAACATAATAAAGCGAAACATTTCTTGTTCGAAAATTGAAATTTCAAGTATAAATCTACAACTTCAACCACGATATTCAATGTAAATATTGCATAATAAAGTTTTTTATTAATACCTTTTTTTTACCTTTATTTGATAAATTGTGTCTTATATATTAATTATTGTATTTTGTATTGGAATAGGATAAATTATTAATTATACACAAATATTCCCAATTTGAGGATGCTGGGTGCACTGCCTCAGAGTTTGTATTAGTGCCTATTTATTATTCAGTTATTAGTGCCTCTAAATCTGTAATGTACAAACATTGTAATCTGTTACTTAATACCATAAAGAAACTGTTGAAAGCACATATATTAAATGACTATTAATCAAAATGAACTAAATTTTCGATTATTATATAGCATATTTCCCCCAATATTGAGGGAATAATTTCTCCTATTTATTTTTATAATAAGCCAATATTGCCCAAATGTGAAGTAAATATTGCACGACTGGCCTAGTCTGCCCAACAATCGGGCCCCGTCCTGTACGCCTATGGTCAGGCCTACAGGTGGACCCCCATCCTGATTGGTCACAATTTTTCTTTCTCCAAAATTTCCCTTCCCCATTTGCAAGGATTGACAATTTGACAGCTTGATTAAATTTGAAAAAAAAACAATGTTATTTTGGGTCATTCCAGAAAACACCCATACCACGTACCCCCACGGAGGAAATTGAAAGTTAATCCCTCCTACCCCTTTGGATGTCCTAATACATTTACTATTATCAGAAACAATTTTTTCCCCCTCCCCTCCGAACGGCAGAAATTTCCTCTGTGGATCTTTTCTGGAACGACCCATTTGAGAAATGCTTTTGCACAAATTTTAAATTTACTTACAAACACAACTCATCACTGTATGTTAGTTGCAACTAAAATCCAGAGGTCTAAAAGGCTCAAGTCAATTCCAGTAGTGTAACGAGAGGGGGGGGGGTCAAAATATTTTAAATGTTCTGGACTTGTTTGTAATTAAGTAGAATTGAACATGTGTTAGCTGCATGGTTATTTCAAATCACCAAAACACATTAAAATAGCCCCCCAAAATGGCAGTTTATTAACTAGAATTTAAAAAGTCTACATTGTACTATATTATACATGGATAGCTTAGGAGTCCAAATATATTTTTACATAATAACAAACTTTATTCAAACTAGTGCATGCCCCTCCTGGGGATTTCAGTCCCACTTGAAGGCCTTAATTAGAAATCCTGGCTACATCACTGCTCAATTTCATTGCCAATGGTGTTAGCATGATTAGATAGAGTAGGTTAACAAACTAGTGTGTATTATGAGATAATCCATTGAACACCAGTGATCTATCCCAACATATAAAATCATCTGGTGTTAGACAGTCAGAGTAAAATAAAAAGTAGGACACAATGTGTAACTTACTAGGTAAGCTTAATGGCCAGAACTAAATGATAAACAATATTTTATAATAAACCCTAATTAGTTCAGCACCATTGGTTCTTATAACACTGTTCATTCCAATACTAGAACATCAATTGTCATTCATTAAAATGTATTTCAGTTGGCAATTAACAAAAGTTGGAGTTTCATCCGATGACATGTATGCTTCTAACCTTGCTGTCCATGCAGCTATCTGACAGTTTTTAATTTTCAACATTCCCAAAGCCATTATTCTCAAGATTTGCCAAAAAGGTTTTCCAAATAAGTACAGAATTATATTACATCACTCATCACTGTTCATTTTACATTCTTCAAGTAGATGCATGTTTACAGTACAGTATATCTTGTGTATTCATAATTAAATCTTGCAATATCTTGTTCAAAACCCTCAAATCCAAGATAATCGGCAGCCAGCCATGTTACCAGTAAGATTTCTAGTTTGTTGACTTTGAAATGACCAAGGTTGTACTCGAGTATAAATATTTATACTTTAATTATTGAATAGCCCCTGTATATCGCTGACAAGGTATGCTGTTGTCGCGATATAAGATGTTCTTTTGCTCGCCAAAGGGCTTATTTTACGCATAATTGTATCTCTAAATTGATCATTCCTGACTTTAAATTCCAAAAGCCACGCGAGAAGCAGTTTAAGACGTCTTTACAAGTCCAAATATATCATAAATTGCAACAAATAATGCATTCTCACTCCTTGCGTAAAAATATGCCCAGTCAGCGTTTTTAGCTGGAGCTACTGTTTACTTCCGCTTCCGGGGGCACCAATCTTTCTATGGTGTTCCGGTTTGGATTATCCCAGGGCTTCTGAGAGCAATAAGCGCAGAAGCCCTGGTGGAACCGGGTAGCTCGATCTCTTCCGAAAATTAAGGCTATGTCTTAATAGGCCTTTATAATAAATGGTTTCCAAGCTTTCTACCGCCATATTGCAGGGGGTGCAAAAACATTGGGGCGAGCGCGCGGCCACCAATGGCGCCCATACTATTTCCTATTGAGTGAGTGAAAATTACCTTTTGACATTTTGTCCTTTTTCTCAAAAAATTTCTATACAAGCATATCCAATTTTTATTTTTAGATAATGGCTGGATTTTTCTGATATGTGGCCGAGATTTCTTGCTAATCCCTGAAGGACAGGAAGTAATAAAAAACGGCGGCTTTTGTTGTACAACTTGACCGACGTTTGAGCGATGATTTTTGTACAAATATACAAATATAAACAGTAATAATGGCGGACACCAAAGGACTTACACACTTAATGGACAAATATTCTTCCAAAGATCGGTTAAACAAACGAAATAACAAGAATCATTGCTCAAACGTCGGTCAAGGTGTGCAACAAAAGCCGCCGTTTTTATTACTTCCTGTCCTTCGATTAGCAAGAAATCTCGGCCACATATCAGAAAAAACCCAGTCAGTGTTTTTAGCTGAAGCTACTGTTTACTTCCGCTTCCGGGGGCACCAATGTTCTTTGTTGTTCCGGTTTGGATTATCCCAGGGCTTCTGAGAGCAATAAGCGCAGAAGCCCCTGGGTACGAGGTTGCCGTTCGAGCCAATTAATTTTTCGTTGGTCGATTGCAGTGTCAGAATAATATGAAACTAGTTTCGCGTCTGCGTTCGCAGTCTTTTGACTAGGATTGTAGAACAGCACGAAATGAAAAGCATTGTATTTATATACTAAGTACGTAAGGTTGGCAACTATATCGAATTTCACAAACATACAACTACTCACAAATAAATTACGTTTCAACACTTCAAGAAAGTTGAAAATTTGCACAAAGTTTTGATGGTTTGACTACAACTTTCTGCCACTATGCGCGATGCCAAAGTTTGTCGTATTTGACATATTTAAAAAAATTCTGTGATCCAATTGGTTGAAAAGGAAACATGAAACATTATACCTACATTTACCTACATAGATAATGGATCATGGATGTAACAATCCACCATTTCACCTCTGAAACAAAATCAGTACTTGTTTCGAATATTTTGTATTTGTAATTTTGACAGTCTTTGTTGTTTCATGTTGTATAGTTCAACCCCCCTTGGAACCATAAACTGTTTCCTTTTTCAACCAATCGGATCACAAAATGTTTTGGACGAATATACGACAACCTTTGGCATCTCGCATATAGCCAGAAAAGTTGTCGACAAACCATTAAAGCTTTGCGCAATTTTTTAGCTCTCTTGCACTATTTGTGAGTAGAATTTATCAGGGTTAACCGGTTAATGTGCAATAATTTTTAATCATGTTTTATCTATGTGTGCGAAGTATTTTGTCGAAGTCGTATGTTTGTCAATTTCGATAAGGTTGGCGCCTTATATACTTAGTATATAAATACAATCGAGTGCTTACTGGTGCTTGCGGCGTGCGACAAATGTCAGAGGAATGGGACTGATTTATAAATTGACATTTTATGCAGTTCTACATGTATTTTTGGGCTGGCTACGATCGAAATTATCCATATATGCATATAAATAGCATCTCTCCCAAAGCTTCCGTTATTATTTTTCCAATATATCATTATTCATTTTGAATGTTCTTTTGAATTGGTCTTATAGGTTTTGCCCTTTTTTGTCATTGATAAACTTGGATACCTAACAGGAGTTCCTGGGTTATTCATTGCAGCTCTTTTTAGCGGCTCACTTAGGTAGGATAAAATTGTTGAATACAATCCTTTTTTCTTACTAGTTATGTATATGAAAGGCATTGTATACACCTTAATTCTTGTACTCTATACTTTATTATAATACTCTTACAATATGATTTTTGATTTGCATGTTTACATGTTAATTAATAATTTGTAAAGTCATATCAATAATTACTGTAGTGTTACATTAATACGTCTCCATCCCTTATCAGTTAATAAATCAATAGGCTTACAGCGTTTTTGAGAATCTTTTATATCTAACATATAGTTCGAATATCAAGTGTTTCTAATTTATTATCATAGTGTTTCTAATTTATTTAGTTCAAATACTATAGTTTTGAGTAAGAGTACACTACATAATAAGTCTTATATGTAGTGTACTCTTTTAAATGTCTCTCAAACTTTAATATTCTCTTCCTTTCAATCTTTGCGATTCTTGTGCTTATTCTTGAATGTTCATCGAGGGAAACCAATACTTGTTTCAAATAATTGCTTTTGTCTTGCTACTCCCAAGGCGTTTGTGCATGTGCACTGTTGATAGTTTTCTTTCGTAACGAGATGGGAGGAATCATTTTGTCTCCTCGAAGTAAAGTACTATCCCATCGGCTTCGTATATCTCCGATCTAAGATCGTTTCTTCACGGATCTTGTCCAGTACAACAGCATGTTCTGTAATGATGATTGCTCTTACATGGTGTTCTAGGTACGTTTCTTCGGTGTCTGGTAATGGATGGCGGGACATATAATCGGTTATGTTTAATTTCCCAGGTATGTGTATCCAAACGAAATCTACATTCTGTGTCTTCATCTGTTCCAGTCTTAGTAGTAATTTGGCACTTGGATTGTTGAAAATCGACAGTAGGGGTTTATCAGAAATTGCTGTGATCCAAGAAGGTACATTTGTAGTCGAGTTGCTGAAAATTCTACCATGAAGCTTCTCGTTCAATTGGGCATAATTTTGCTCGGCTTCAGTCAGTGTCCTTCTAACATAATGAACAGGTGGGTTGATATATGTGAGATGTCTTTTGGAATAGTCCTCCTCCGAGGCGAACTGGAGTCGTATCACAGATGATTCGAGTTTTTCTTTCATAATAGTATGGTATAAGTACCATTGCTGTTGTAACTGTAATGTTGTAATTTCTCAGATCATCAAATGCTGCTTGTTGTGCTTGTTGGTCTTGGTTCCATTCAAAGGGATAACCTGGTTCGGATCTACTGGAAAATATTTCAATGAAACGGGACAGATGTGCAATAATTCTGATAAATGATACAAGTTCTTCCTTGTTCTTCGGTCTTTCTATTTCTTTGATGGTTCTGATTTCGCTGGTGCTTGGGGCAACCCTTCACTGCATGGTCAGTCATTGAACTGAGGTCAACCAAAAACGACAAAGAAATAAAATGGCTGTCAATGGCTATTATAAAAGCCAATATAAAAGTGGCCCTGGACCCACGTGACCTCGTCAAAGAGATCATGGCTGTTCATACTTTCAAATGCAAGCCTTTTGTATTGGTAGTTCCACCATGGTATTATCCAAGGTTAAGATCAATCTTACAGAGACCATACAGTCCTTGAATTCGTTTACAAAATCTTCAGTCATAGGTGTTTGCATGTACTTCAGTACTTGTCTGGTGTTTGTACAGTACTTGTCTGGATTTGATTCAATATTCGAACTCGAATGTCCTTAAGGTTCTTCGCTTTTGGCTGCACTATGAAAAGAGAGCAGCACCATTCAATTTCTTCATGTTCAGGGACTTTCTCTACGGCACAATGTCACTTTCAACGAGTTCGTTTATTCACTCTTCCAGTGGCTCTAGGAAATGGTACAGTACACATCTTTGGACAATCGGTGTCAGTGTGTCACATTCTCAAATTTCAGAAATAAAACCGTTTTCGGCCAGTTCACGGTTACTGTCAATAATAGTGTTGGAGTGTTTCTTGTACGCACACGCTTTCAAAATTGCTTCTTGTGTGACTTTATTGCTTTATTACAAAGTTGTTTTTCTCGATTTCTGCTTAGAATATTTACACAATAACGGAATGACTCTTTTCACCAGACTTAGAGTTATAATTAAAAATAGTTTCTGTTTAGCATTAATGTTTTAAGGAAATGGCTGAGAAATTTGGTAAAATGAAATGTAAAACTATATCGTTAGAAATAAAGTTAATACCACTTCACTTTACAAGTTTCGAAAACACAATACAGCGGTCAGAGCACCATACAGCACAATGAAAACATGACATATCAAAAGAAATAGTATCGTACAAATTGGGAAATCTATAGGAAACAAAATAAAATGGATTTTAAAGAATATCACGGCAAGGTTTTTCCCAACAGTCGGGATGGTCTTTGCTATTTGTTTGAAGTGAATGTTTCGGAGTTTTAAATAAGTTTTAAATTGTCCGTGAATATGCTTGACACAGTAAAATAATAAAGGAATCCTACCTTTCAAGTTAAATACAACATTTTGTACATATATTTTGTCAGATTTTGAAAAGTATTATTTACTACCCAGATGGAAATAATGTGTTGAACTGGAAAAGGGGGGTCTGCATGGTCTTAATTTCCTGCAGTTTCAGACAAATGTTTTTTATATATTTCATCCACTAGACAAAGGTTTCATCATGCTTAGGACTTGCCCCCCCCTTTAATTATTATATAAATCTTAAGTTCAGTAAGGGAATTCAACCTAGTCACAAATAGATCCTTTGCAAAATGGTGATTTTCTACAAATTATCTTTGTTCTCTAAGCTTAGATCAAAATAAGCAAATACAAAATATCCATTAAAATACATCAAATATGATTGAAATTATTTTATTTTTCGTTAACTAGCACAGTTTCTTCAGGAATTAACTCTCTTACTGCCATCATATTAGAAGATATTATAAAAAAAATTAAAAAGAATATTCCCGATTCTGAAGCCACATTTCTTTCAAAAATAATCGGTGAGTATTTCTTGGCCGGAGTGCATCCATTTCTCAAGATATAATTGCGAGAATCTACATGTTATGATATTTGGTATGAAGTTGTAGAACGATTGAAACCTATAGTCTCTGAATTGTGGCAATGTTAGTAGGGAAAAAGCCTATGTCCAGGTTTCCATTTATAGCTTTTCTGAGTATGTCCGAAGTGCAAAATCATGCTTCCTGCCCTAGTTGGCAAAGCTATTTACTACAAATTTATGTCAACAAATCAGAGAGTTACAATTTACTACAAATTTATGTCAACAAATCAGAGAGTTGAGAACTACAGGATGTATAAAAAGTGTACAACTGTAAAATGGTCATTAAACTAAAAACTTTGCAAAGTTTCTGAAGAATTTATGTGAATATTTCAAAGTATTCTGATATTTCTAACACTTAAACTAATATGAAAATTTAACTCTTCGGTACAAGAGGGTCAGTTTTAAAAACCACATTAAAAGTGTCTTGCACACAAAAAAATGGAAGGATTTAAACACAACTTGAATTCATTAGTTGCAAGTTTGAAAAGTGTTTTATGAACTATCAAAGTTCTAGATAATCTGATATATTAAGATCTCCGTATGAACTGTAAAACCTGGACTTTGCTTAATTTTTTTAGCTTTTTGTAAAGAACATGTGAGAAAGGCTGCATGATAGACTTAAAGGTTGCATGATTGACTTAATGTAGATCAAATTGTCTGGTACCTTGTTATTTCATAAACACTTTCCAAACCCAACTGAATTCAAATTGTGTTTTAAACCTTCCATTTTTATGTGTGTGGTTTTTAAACACAGAACTAACAATTTAAATTTTCAGATTAGGTTCAATATTATATATAGGGAAATCAGAAGATCCTAAAATACTCATATCCACATACTTTTTGTGGATTTTTCAGTTTAGTGGCCATTTTACATGCAATATTGTGCACTTTTTTACACAGCCTGTATAATGAGATATTTATGATAAATCTTATCAGCACTCTTTATTACTTCTCTGAACTATAGGGACCTAATTTCTATTTATCTTGACCTTCAAATTTTTTAAAAATTCTTTAACCAAGGTTTTCTTCGACTTAGGAGTTATCTACGGAGGCATAATAATTATGGGGGCAATTGCGTTGAGATTTGCAAAAGTACCATTATTGATTCAGGTAAATATAAATGTTTGATATGCCAACTAAACTGCATTCATATAAGGTTATTTCTACTACAGGCAGCAGGCAACAGTGTATTTAGCATGTCAACTTAATGGCTGACTGATCTATGGTTATGATAAAACATAATTTTCGCACACATGATGTGTCCAATGGGCCCAATTGAATGAAGCAATTAAATGAGCCAATTGCATGGGGTCATTAATATCTGTTTGAGAAAATACCTTGGCCTCTCGCGTATACATTTATATATCCCAAACATGGGTGTCCAGTGTATAAAAATAAGTACTCGGGAGGTGGATAGTGCTTTTCTCGCAATTTGATTGGTTGCTCAGTTCCGGATATCCTTGCACTATTCACCTCCCGACAAAAACAAAATGGCTTCCAATTTCTTTTCAGTTACAGCCAAGCAAATGTTTGTACTAAACGAAGCTGCATTCATCTCAGTGTCAGTGAATAATCGTGTATATGTTATTTGCCAGCTGGGAGGTCTGTTACCGTTCATACTGAAAAAATATGTCCCCAAGATCTCAACGTTTTGTGTACAATATAGTGATACACTATTTGGCCAGGTTAAAGCTGAAATATGCTAATAAATAGATATATTTGATATGCAAATATTAAAATCACACTTGCATTAAACCATGCAGGTGCTATATTGAGGGTCTGAATGGGGTTAACTGACTACTCAATTTTTGCCTGAATTTTTGACTGACAACTGACAAAATATCCTAGCTGACAACTGAGAAATGATGAAAAAGTGATGAGTCAGCATTTTGCAGTAACTGACTACTGACAGCTTGCAATATATCGCACTGACAACTGACAACTGGCTTAAATTTTAGCTGAAAACTGACACCCAAAGACCCCCATTAAGACCCACTATATTTAATTACAATTTTATTGTATTCGAATAAATTTGATTAAATCAATTAAGTCATATTTGATTAAATCATAAATGTATCCTTGCTAGAGAACCATGAGGTTAATTAATCTGATTAGGTCTCCTTAAATTTATTCAATTTCTACTATTGTAACAGAGGCCACATTTAAATTATTTAGGAACGATAAATCACACATGTTCTTTTATTAGCCTGCCAACATAGTCCGTTCAATGGTCAGAGTGATGGAGCCATGCCCTTGTTACGATCAAGGGGGGTTAGTGTACATCTATGATATACATCATAGATGATATACATCATAGATGATATACATCATAGATTCATTGATGTATACATACATAAGAGAATAGGTTGAACCCACATATCAGCAAGCAAAACATGTGAACCACCAAATTTTTGGCACCATTAATGATAAGCTACAAAACACATGCTTCACTGAATTTGTTTGGACTGAAATATTCATAAGAGGCCAAAACGTTTGCCAGACAGACTGAACCCCATGACCTTCTTTCTGGCTACGCCTCTGACATTACTTTTAATTATTACTTTAAACCTTTTTAGTATAATTACATAGGTGATTATTGAAAATTCTCCATGCTGATTGGTTACCGTTGAGGTGATTATTACGCGATAATCACCAAAGCGATTTTCAAAATGGTGGCCGAAGCCGTTTTGTCAATTAAAAGACGAAGAAATGTGCACTTTTTTTATTTTTCCAAGTAATCACGTATGAAATTATACTAAAACAATTATTCACCTCAGGCTCCGTGATTATCGTGAATGGAAACCTCGACGTCGTCTCGGTTTTTATTCGCCGATAATCACCTCGCCTTCGGCGAATAATTGTTAAATAATGTAAATTGCCTCTTCCAGCTTGGTAAATGGTGATGTCATTGACTGCATGCATGATGCGATAAGAATTAAGTCAATAGCACCCAGTCCAGTCATAAAAACTGACAATTTCATTCCACAACATAAGGAAAGCCATTGACATATTTTTTAATCTATTCATTTGGATAAACATAAATATATATTTACCAATCTATGTTTATATAATGTTGGAACGTTCTTGCACAAGAGCAGGAAACCTGCCTTGGCAAGAAAGTATAGCGAGGCATAACATCATAATGGCGAGGATTATAAACAATATGTATTTAAAATTTAAATTAACGTAATTTATAGCACGGTTGATATTACATTTGAATGGCATTCTTAATACAAACAGCGTACAGAGTTAAGGAGCATTTATTCATTTAAGTATCACATAAAATATCATTTGTTGGCTCAGGTTAAAATGACTGTATTTAAAAAGTTAAAAAACTAACATTTTCTACTTTTCTACTAGCTATATATTGTAACTACTGTTTGTAAATGTCTTTTCATGAAAACTAAAACTCAGTTAAAATTTCCCAATAGTTAACAGCAAGTTTGTTCAACATTTCTGCCGGTCCACTGTTAGGATTATTTACGCTTGGAATGCTGTCAAAACGAGCCAACTGGAAGGTATGTGTTGTTCTCAACTAATTGTTTATAACTGTTTCTAGATTATAAAAATCTATATTTTTAATCATGATGGTACTTCTTCTTGCTTATTTAATCAGAGAAGCTATAACCGAATTACTGTTACGTCTCTACAGTGGTGTAGTGGGATGAGCACCACCCCCCCCCCCCAATAATTTTTGCACATTGCATAATCTTAAACGAGAATGTTCGTTAGAATTGCATCTACAAAGAGTGATACAGAAACCTTGAATTACATACCATTTTGAGACGCTCAGAATATTTTATATTACTAACGGTAATTGTTTTTAATAAGCATAATTTTGAATGCTTGTTCCACAATTATTAGAAAAAACCCAACAAAATTTAGAATTTACAAAATATCATATTGTACCCCCCGACAAACAAACAAAACAATTCCTGCAATCTTGATTTCCTGCAATCTGATTGGCTGCAGCAGCGGGCAGCTTTTTACAATATCTTGAAATTATTGCACTTACTTGTATAAATCATAAGAGCTTGCATTTACAGTGAATAGCTTCAAACAGGGCGCTTATATATGCTCAGAAACATTGCTTTGAACGATTGTTCAAATATGGCGAATAAATTGACAAAACGAAAATACTACATGACGTTACAAAGAAAATAACAGCAAGTATTGCGGGCGCGCGAGCGAAAAGGCGAGGGAAGAAATAATAGAATGGTTGAAACAAATATCATGTGACTTTTTAATGATGCTTCTAGACTATCCGTTTAAGCTTTTTGTGGTATTTTTAGGGCTCAGTCTATGTTCTCTTACATGTACAAGCCTAGTCATTACCAAAAAAGCACTGATCAATCCAATCATAGACAATCCAGAAGAATGTCTTCTGGATTGTCTATGATCCAATTTATGCGATTTATAACAGCGAACATTCTTAGCTTCGGCGCGAGATGTGTTCCATAAGTAGCCTGGTCTCGTGACGTATGACTAAATAATAATAAAACTAAGGGAGTGGTCATTATTTATGGGGAGGGGGGTTGGGAAATGGGAGGGGCAAACGAAGTTTTACCCTTATAAATAGGGGGGTCAAAAACGTTTTAACACAGAGAAAGGGGGGGTCATAAAAGTTTTTGAACTTAAATACCATGTCTAGAGTTCTGATTTCTATAATCACAAATAGCAAAAAAGAAGACTCTGAAAATTCTATTTCAACTTTCACAGAAACTCTGTATGTTAATTGTTAATGGTGCTAACTTGCCCTGAAGGAAGCTCGGTCGTGGCTTCATTGGGCATTACTTACATGCGCTACTGCCCAAAAGGAATCAAGTTTCCTCACACCAAGCGATCTCATAGTGGAAATTTAGGAGAATTGATTTATCCTAAGTTGGCCAACGAATCACTCTGTCCAGTTACGTGTCTTACAGAGAATACCTAAAACGAACAAATGGGGACATAAGAACGATGACAAACCACACCTTTTTCTATCTTTCAAAGAGCCTCACAAACCTGTTTCGTCACCGACGCTTTCACGTTGGGTTAAGAAAATAATCCGTCTGTTTGGAATTAAGAACGATATCTTTAAAGGTCACTCGGTTTGTGGGGCCTCAACCACTGCTGCCAAGACAGCTAGTTTATCCATCGACACTATTTTGCCTATGGCTGATTGGACGAACAAATCAACTTTTAATAAGTTTTATTATAGTTGTATACATAATTTATCAATTAATGTCCACGTGGCATGTAGTTGGGCCTTCTTCAGTGGTTTTAGAATAAGTCGGAATATGATGCAGGAGGCTCCGCTACATGGCAAGCAGGGACTGTTCCCACACTTTTTTCTATTCTCCTATGCTTGGCATAATCATTTACGCTCTGGGAAGCTCATACCACCTGTATTCCATACATTTCTACTGAAAAGTGTGAAGTATAATCAACCAATAGCAATGTTTAAATTAACTCATTGTTCAAGTCACGGATGGATAACTAAACCCACACTTTATTATTGCATGGTTGTTTGGACAAATATACAATATGCAGATGACGACAAAGAACCATATTTTTGCATAAAAACATAAATAATGAATTTATTCTACTCACATGGAGTTTCCCAACCATCTAAACATCCCACAAGTGACAACGTAATATGTTTGTATATTAAAATTGGTTGCCTCGCTTTTTGCACCAACAAATTTGCAGAGTGAAAGACAGGCTATATACATTGTTGACTACTTGCAATGTGACTGCATAAGATTGTATACAGGTCAGGGCCCACTAGGAAATGGTGTTAGTATAGGTAATAGCATGGTTTCGAGTGCAATTTGGATATAACATGCACGAGTGAGTTTTTCAAAGACCTCAACGCTAACAGCTTGAAAATTCCACTCAACTGTGTATTTTTTGTTAGTCTTGTTTAAGGTAAATGCTTTTCCATTTAAAAATAAAGATAAAAGCCATATTTTCCACGCGAAGGCAACTTTTACTTTGTGTAGCGCGGCGCCATGTTTGTTTTGTTTTGAAGCAATCTGTGACCGTTACTTCTTTAAAACTAAACTGCTTTAAACTGATTGGTTGATTTAATCATCACAATGTTTTCCCACCATCAGATCAGTTTGTTACAGATTTTTGCACTGTGATTACAGAAAATTGCACTGTGTGACTGTGATTACAAAAAATTGCACTTTGATTACAGAAAATTGCACTTGTGATTACAGAAAATTGCACTGCTGTTTGGGATTAACTGCACTGAAATCAACCAATCACAGTCGAGTAATATCTTTATGTATATTATTATAATAATAACAATATTATGTCTGTACATGCTAGTTAGTATAACTTGATTGTTCTGCACATGTGCTATATGAGGGCCCTCAGATGTAAACAATACCCAAATTTCTAATGTGTACCCATTTAAAAGCATAGCAAGCAAGAACAATGTTAGATATTAATTAATTCCATCATTTTTTATGAATATAGTATGCTAAAAACGTAACCAAATGGACTGGATCCCATCTTTAATATTCTCCACAGGATTTGGTGTAACACCTTTAGACAATGTATATCATTATTTAGGGAGCTTATATTGGCACCATATGTTCCTTTGTTGTTCTTGGTTGGATCTATATTGGGAGCTTGTATTATCCTTCACCAAATGTGTCTGCACCACCAACATCAGTTGAGAAGTGTGTTGTGTTCAATGCTACGAGAAGCAACATGAAAGTTAAAAATGACAGGTAAGATAAAATCAATAAAATTTCATGTTCATTATCCTGGTCAGTCTTCAATATTCTTTTTCACAAAAAATCTTTATCCGAACATATTCGTTACCAGCTGACAATTTGAAAAGGTATGAAATAAAACATGCTTTCATTGGCATGGATACAACTACCTGAAAAATATAAGGCCCTTCGTCAGAAGTTACGAAAACAAAAAATGTAAATCACATTGCAGAATGTATTAATACAAATGGACGGGAAACTACAACAAATACAACAAAATATATGACATAAGTATGGAATAAGATAAGAATTAAATGTGAAATCAATTTCTGCACATACATAGGAAAATCGTTCATTAATGCCATAGCTAGGGTGGACAGTGGCAAGTGGACATGTCTTTTGGGGCTATCGTTGCTACCAGAAATGGGACAAAGAGCTCGAATTTCCATATCACAAACACTGTGAATGCCAAGTATTGATATGTCTGGCAACAGGCCAGCTGGTTAGCATCATTACCAATGATTGCATGCAGACGCTCACCAATTGCAAACCTTGTCCTCAAAGATCTTCCAGTTTCCATAATAAAAAGCATGTTACATCGACTGCATGAGATGCAGTTCATGAGATGGGAGGAGGTACACATGAAATGGTGTTTGAGTAAGGAAATGTGCCATTCTGTGACGATGAATCCGGTAATTGGGAGCTATGAACAAGGATCTTTTCACAGATATTTTTGCTGTGTCGAAAATAGACTAAGGGGTTATCGGAGAAAATGAAAGATGTTTCAGAGTCGTTTTTAAAATATGGAAATTCTTCCTAATGACATCTCTAACATTGACATTAAAAGGATGATAAGTTAACACCAGGGCGATTTGTTGTTACCTGTAATATTGGACACAGGGTCCGTAAGGGTCTCAGATTGTGGAATTTGGGAGGCCTTCGAAAATATAGTGTCTAATAAAGACGTACGATAGCCAAGTGTCTTATTTCCAGACTTTTGGCTTGGAAGTCCTCATCTTTACTGCAAATGCGGCAAAGGAACTAAGAGAAGGGAATCACCGTTTTCGTGTGGTTGGGATGGGAAGAGGAAAGTGGAACATAGCTAATGGAGTCAGTAGGCTTGTACATGGTGTCTAAAAAACGCTATGGAAATTCAACAGGCTGTCGTGCATCATAAACGTGGCTAAACAATTCAATTTTTACATACGACGAAAGAACAGTTATTTAGCTTTACAGTGATACTCTTTTTAAATCGTAACGATGAGAAATGGCCACATACTCGTCAAATAAAAGTTGCCGGTCGAAATCACATTCTTCCACCGGTCGAAATCACATTCTTCCAACGGTGGAAGAATGTGATTTCGACCGACAATTTTTATTTGACGAGTATGTGGCCATTTATCATCGTTACGGTTTAAGAAAGGTTTCATAGATAATTGTTCTTTCGTTCTATGTAAAAATTGAATTGTTTAGTTAAGTTTGTGATGCACAACAGCCTGTTGAATTTCCATAGCGGTTTTTTTGAGACACCCTGTAGAACAAAGAAGTAACTAGTTTATGTTCATTAATTGGTACAAGGTTTCTAAGAATGATACACTGGTCTCTCATGTGAACTAGAGTGCTGGATCATAAGAATGGAAATGAAGATTATTATTATTAAACCACTATTTTCGCACCAAAATCCCAACACCATGTCAAGCATCATTTCACGTTCACCTCCTCCCATCTCATTTACTGCATATCATGCAGCAGATGTGGCATGTTTCACATTGGAGAAACTGGAAGACCTTTGAGGACAAGGTTTGGTGAGCATTGGCATGCAATCATTGATAATGGGGTTAATCAGCCTGTTGCCAGACATTTTAATACTGGCAATCACAGTGTTTCAGATATGGAAATTTGATGCTCTCCTATTTTTGGTAGCAACAATAGCCGCAAAAGACACAAAATGTGTCTCATGTCCAAACTTGGCACTGTCCACCCCTATGGCATTAATGAACGTATTTTCTCTGTCTGTCTTTGTCTGTCTAAAGTAGACATTAACAGTACTATTTATTCTTACCTCACTCCATACTTGTTTCATATATTTTGTTGTATTTGCTGTGTTTTCTGTATAATTGTATTGATATATTCTACAATGTGATTTACATTTTTTGTTTATACTTTGTTTATACTTCGGAATATCATACTCCTGTTTTCATCTACCGGTGATCACCCACTGTTGTTTTTCTCCCACGAACAATAATTTTTGCATCAATTCTTCACGATTAGAAATCCAAAAACGCTCATTTTCTCGATTTGGCTCTTTTATCTGGAATAGTATTTCTCCAAGTTTCCGTGCGCAAAGGAAACATATTTTCAAAACCAAATTAAACAAAACACTTATATGACAATACTACAGAAGGCAAATGACCATATTGATCTGCCCATGATAATAAACAGATTGCCTTTGAAACTAAACTATCTTACAATTTATTGTATAATTGAGATTTTTGTGGTTATTATTTTTGTGCTCAATTTCATCCCTATATTTAGCACTTTAGCGAGATTTCCATATTACCGATTATTTTACATAAACAAATAAATTGACTTCTAATTCAGTTGTTCTGCTGGTAACTTTGTAAACCTGCAATAATTTAATCTAAGTTCTTTATCTTGTAATTCAGTCATTTCTATTATCCCCCCCCCTCCCTCCCTCCCTCCCTCCCTCCCTCCCTCCCTCTTAATTACATTATATCACGACACGCCTCGATTAGCTTGGCTACTTGCGGCTAGTGAAAATTTATGAATTATGTACAAAGATAAACCAGAAATAAAATATGTTTTCATGGTTTTCATAGTGAGCATTACCAACAAATAAGTGATTTCATTAGCTCCCATATCATGCAGAAAAGTCAGAAATATTGTAATTGCCCTCATTTTACCTTGGCAGGTCTGCAGATTTGTTGCAAGATGTATTAGGCAGAATAGTACATTGAAATTGTCTTCTTCGAAAGGTCAAAGATAACTTTGACTTTTTTCCATATTATACCATCTATGCTGCACACTTTTACTGCAGCTTTAAAAAAATGAGGAGGAAACTGATCCAGTTAATAAAAATTCATTTATATTGTAAGGTTTTAAAACAACTCCACATATTAACTGCAAAACTCCGTTACTGTATATCTTACTAAACCGGCTGCTCATAGAGGGCAACTGTATATGGTAAGAGTTTTGAGCACAGCACCCATAAAAATGGGCACAGCACCTGTGACATTTGTCATGTAAACATGACAAAAAAGACACCACTGCTCAAAATATTTAAGGCGCTAAAACTTACTGATGAGGTAGTCTTGCTAGCCGTTTCCAAATTAGGAAAGAATTCAAAAAGTATCCCACACCATGCATAATTCGTATTCAGCATTGCTTCTGCTTACAAACAAAACAAACAGACAGTCGATAGATTATCAAGGAAAGGTGCTTATTTAACTACAGTTTATCACTTTAAATACTAAATAGCCACTTTAAACGTATTTATCTATAATTGACATGGGTTTTTTGTCTTGTGCCCAATGTTCTCTTCTCCTCAGCATAGCTTGATGTCAACCAGCCTATGTCTATGTCTATGATGTGCAAATAAAGTGAGAAATGGTTGATTATTCAAGTCGTATTCAAAAGTAACTTCTTTATTCCAGGCTTGTTTATTCTGCCATTTGTGTTACAGCTTGAAGCATGCAAACATTTTCATGTATTTAAAACATGATCAAGCAGCAGTGTTTTATCAGATATAAAGATACGACGCGAAACCAAGTATCTTTAGGTCTGATAAAACACGCAATGCGCGAATGTTTTCAATTGCTTCAAAAAACGATCGATCTAGTAAGTTTATTGGCGAAGTAATTTTCAAAAAATACGTTGTATTAGTCGAGAAAATCAAAGTTAAAGTTTATGTAAATCAAGGGGAAAATAAAGATACGACTTATGATTTTGCTTTGTGTTTTTCTCATGAATTATTGAGTTTTTGAAGTTTGTTTACAAATATAAAACATTTTCCGTGTTATCTGCTGTGTTGGTGTAATGTATTCAGGCGAATAAGATGTTTGTGTGATGTTACTCTGAGTGTATATCCACACTGGGCAGGCTTGAAAAATATGCCTGGCCACGGCGGGATTCGAACCTACGACCTTTGGAATACTAGTCCAACTGAGCTTCGCGGTCAGGACGGTTCGAGTATGCGATATTTCGGAACTGAGTCTAGTTCCTAATTCGATATCAGTGTAATCTAATAATCATGAAATCTGCTGTGTTGGTGTAATGTACTCATTATTAGATTATTAGATTACACTGATATCGAAGGAACTAGACTCAGTTCCGAAATATCGCATACTCGAACCGTCCTGACCGCGTAGCTCAGTTGGAAGAGCATTGGGCTACTGTAGTATTCCAAAGGTCGTAGGTTCGAATCCCGCCGTGGCCAGGCATATTTTTCAAGCCTTCCCGGTGTGGATATACACTCAGAGTAACATCACACAAACATATTTTCCGTGTTGATATACAGTTATATCAACACGAGTGGCAATTGGGAAAACGAGAAATTGTGTGGAAGCACGACGCCCGAAGGGCGGAGTGTTTTCACACAATTTCGAGTTTTCCCAATTTCCACGAGTGTTGATATAACTATATATCAATACGAATATAATATAATATAGCACAAAGAATTTCTTTGTGCTATAATATAATATAGCACAAAGAAACATAAAGAAAGAAATTTTCCGACGTTTCCGTGTTGACATTGAGTTATATCAACACGGCTCTTAGCCAATCAGCGTTCAGAATTTACAAATGCTATATTATAATTACATTTCAAACACAACATGTCAAAGCGTATTAATATTATTCTTTACATAATATGCCATGTTTTGTTTGAATTCCAATGACATTTATACAATTTCATACTGTGAATCCATAAAAGTCAGGTACACCAATACAAAATAAATTGTACACTATTTAGAATCAAGAGAATACAAGATATATTGCTTCTACGATCAATATTTTTCATATTTTCGAACAATTTCAATAACCCTCTGAAACGTTGCATTTAAAAAGTAAACAGACGAATATTTTTGCATGTTTTTTGTTTATAGCGTGCCATTAGCTGGATTATATGGTTTATCCTTCTTGTATTATGGTGCAGTTGGTATGTTGGTAACCATAATAGTTGGTCTTCTATTTAGTATCTTATTCGGTAAGTGTATGAATGTCACAAAGGTCTTTTGCAATTGCATAAATAGGGTCTATAAATGAAACTGACCCTACCCTTTTGAGAGAATATTAATAACTTACTGACCGAGAGTGAGGGCAGTACGGGAAAATATCCAACCGAGGTCTTGCTGTATTGACCGAGCGATAGCGAGGTCAATACAGCAAGACCGAGGTTGGATATTTTCCCGTACTGTCCGAACGGTTTGAGGTCAGTAAGTTTTTTATTATATGGCATTGTACATTTGTAAAAAATGGAAGAAAAGGTCACGCCAGGGCAAAGAACAAAGTCCGAAACAGTTTAAAAAAAAAATTGTAAAAAATGTTCTCTTGGTTAGTAAAACTACTCTACAGTACTTTTTATATAGAATACTAACACATTTTGGATAGTATTTCAAGAAAAATACGAGGTATTTCGTCATTTAATCAAAGACAACAAATATGAAAACAATAAAATTCAATAAAATTACAAAAACAAGTACGTTTTTAGTTCGCTTCATCTCATATTTATGTCTCTTTTTATCTAACAAAAACAGAAATTTTCAGGGAAAAATTATAAATCTGTGGCTGTTTTAGTTGTATTTTTTATTTAGGATGATGTCAAATTCCTCCTGGCTATTTGCAAATAAAATTTGCAGCTCTACGCATTGTCAAAACACAACTATTCCTGACTGCTTTTATAGTTTATATAAACATTGTAAAATTTACCTTGTAATTTTGACTTTCGCTAACAAAAACGTATGGAGAAAGTTCTTTAACCACAGCGGTTGCTCCTCTTTTTATTTTAGGTCTATTTTTCTTCGTTTTGAATAGTTTTGAAAGACTTTTAGACACTTTTTGCTGTTTTAAACTCGGCTCTCGTCGCAGGGCCATAAAAGTTACCTATTGCCCGTGGGCAATACGGGAAAATCCTGCCTCGTTAGCAGCCAATCAAATTGCGCGATTCATCAAAACAAATGCTTGCCATATAATAAA